CTACTACTTCCCACAGGATCCTTCTTTCAGGTCCTCGTAGCACAGGAGCCTTCCTCAAGGCCCTCGTAGCACAGGGACGGGGGGGGTAGCCACGACTACTACTACTTTTCCAGTTCGAAGGGGGGGGCCCACGACTACTACTATTTCCTCGTAGCATAGGAGCCTTCGTTAAGGTCCTCGTAGCACAGGATCCTTTCAGGACCTCGTGGCACAACAAGATTTTTCTTCAAGGCCCTCGCAACACAGGATCCTTCTTTGAGGTCCTCGTAGCACAGGATCCTTCTTCGTCAAAGCACAGGGAGGGGGGGGCGGCCACAACTACTGGTACTTTGCGCAGTTCGAAGGGCGGGGGGTCCACGATTAGTAGTTGCTCGTAGCACAGGATCCTTCTTGAAGGCCCTCGTAGCACAGGATCCTGCTTGGAGGCCCTCGTAGCACAGGATCCGTCGTAATGGCCTGTAAGAAGCGTTCGAGGAGGGAGGGGGTGTCCGAGGACCACGTTTCTCAGTTCGAGGGCGGGCTCCGTCTGGAAGACCTTCAGGGGGTTTTGTGCAATGAGAAGAGGTCGCGGCGCAGCTCCCGTGACGACTACGACCTTTCCCAGTTCGAGGGGGGGCACCACTGGTACCGCTTCCTCGTAGCGCAGCATCCCCCTGGAGGGATCGAGGGGGGACACGGTCCGACTATAGCGCTACTGCCTCGTAGCACAGGCTCCTGCTATAAGGCCTGTAAGAAGGATACAGCGCTACGAGAAGTACTAGTTATCCCAGTTCGAAGCAGGGAGGGGGAGGGCGCCACGACCATACGACTACTGCCTCGCAGCACATCATCGTGCTTGCAGGCCTATAAGAACAAGTCTGCGCTACGAGAAATAGTCGTGGCCCAGCTGGTCTTCGCCCAGCCCACCGGACGACAACTGTTGAGCTCTGCAAAATACGTATGATTAAACCCCTATGTCGCATAACTTTCTTACGCTCCTGCTTACGCTTTTCTTACGCGACCACAATGTGAGCTTACGGGATGTTGAAGAAGACCTTACGCAGATCTTACGCTTCTGTATTTTCACAAATGAGAACCATACTCCCAAGGGAAATGCTTCCGCGAAGGCTCCTTTTTGCAGGTGAGCGGGCGACAAACACATGATCACTAAGACTCCGAAGCAGAGGAAGCAGAGGATCACTAGCATCTACTTACTGGCTGCCGTGGGCTAGGGTAGGCAAACGAGAAGTTGGCTTACGCGAACCTTACGCGGAGCTTACGCGAACCTTACGCCACCAAACCCTCACAAAACGGAGCCTGGCATGTTATGAGATGTTATGATGGGCTGACTTGAGAAAGGTTTGATACAGAGTGGCAAACACAAACAAGCACAGTGCACACACCTGAAACAAAGTGCATACAATTACAAATGTCAGTTCCCAAGGGTTTCAAACCTCTCATGGTCCATACAGTTCCTTTCTTGACAAGTGTGTGCTAGGAACCTACTAATGAAAACACAACCATATGGCAAGCTTACGCAACATGCATGTCTCACAACTCCCTTACGCAACCTTACGCTTTTCAGGTTTTTGCTTACGTCCAAGTTCCATATGACAAGGCCTTTACTTAGTTCATCTTGGGAGGTTTCTTGCGGTGCTCAACTGTTTCACTTCACAGCCCGAGGTCAGGCCAAGAAGGCCCGGAAGACAGGCAGAAGCGCGAATGACCTCGCTAAGCGGGGGAAGGGTGCAGGCCGGTTTTTCCCTGCAGATTCAGCAGCAGTGGATCCCAGTGCGCGGCCTGCGCACGAGCGCCAGGATCCACCCGCACCTATAGCAGCGAGACCAAGCCGAATTCGGGAAAGCACTGCGCAAACAGACTCACTACACTGGAGCGGCCCACGCTGCGACCGACGAGAGCAGCGACGAGGCAGCTGCCAGGTCCGGCACAGTGTCCTCCAAGAGCGGTGCGTTGGCAGGCCGCTGGGCCAAGGTCTCTGCCAAGCCCAGCCCATGGCGCCGCAAGGTCGACGCCCAAGACACGCAAGACATCCAGAAAGGTCCGTCTTGCCAGGCCGTCCTCAGTGGGCACCGGGCGCTTCACGGCCAGAAGTGGTTTCGGT